GTCACGGGATGGGCAGATGCACAGCTCGACAGGGACAGCCTCCCTCCACACGCCCGGGACCGGCGGGAGCGGCAGGACAGGGACTCACCAGCTGGTTGTTCTCGTAAACGTTCTCCTTCCTGAGTGCGTCGAAGTCCCTAGAAGGTGACGATGCAAAGCAGCTCAGACCCGGGAGGCAGGGCTGGGGGCCTCGGGGTCAGCCTGCCCGAGGGGGGAAACCGAGGTGCGTGTGCGGTTTGCCGGCGAAGGAATGTGGTCGCCGCAGCCTCAGGAGGGCAGGGCCAGCCAGCACCGGGCCCTGGGCCCTGCTGGCCGGCACAGCCAAGCCCAGCCCTGGACCGAGGGCACAGCTCAGAGGCCTGGCATGTCCCGGGATGGGACCTCAGGTGGACATGGGGGGCTCCAGGGCAGGGGCAGCGACATGCGATGAGGGACAGAACTCGGCCACCCCCCACCCTGATCCCCAGGCACCTCCCCAAACACCCACTGAGTCGGTGCTCACACCCCACGCTATCGATGCCCACCTCTCACGGATGAGGCACAGAGAGGCTCGGTGACTTGCCTGAGGTCACCCAGCAGAGACCAAAGCCAGGCCATGGCCCCAGCGTCCAGGGGAGTTAAGGTTCGACCAATTGGGGCATGGTTTTTAAAATACATATATTTTCATTGATTTCAGAGAGGGAGGGAGAGACAGAAACATCACTGATGAGAGAAAGTCATCCATCAGCTGCCTCCTGCACGCCCCACACTGGGGATCGCACCCACAACCCGGGCCTGTGCCCTGACTTGGGAATCGGACCACAGCCTCCTGGCCTAGGTCGATGCTCAACCACCGAGCCACGCGGCCGGGCTGGGCGTGTACTAAGCGCCCACCTGGTGCCCAGCCCCCTCCCCAGGGAACAGAGCCTGGTCCTCGTGGCTGAGAATGAGAGCCACGCCCCCCACACACACACCTGCCACAGGGGCCGGACGTCCCAGCCACAGGGTCCCGTCACCAGGCTGCCCGGAGCCCCGCACACGCCCGTGGGCACCACGGCCCCTGGCACCCGGAAGGGTGCTCTGAGCAGACAACACAGCCAGACCAGCAGGCGGCTCGGGAGGCGGTTACACACACGTCTGTCTGTCTGTCTGTCTGTCCAGGGGGCTGTCTGTGGGGCCTGGATTGTTCTGGAAGCTTCGCAGCAGGGAGAGCCGGGGAGAGCGTGG